CACACACACACACACACACACACACACACACACACACACACACACACACACCATCTGTTACTAATTGATTCCGGGTTCAGTGGGACCCTCGAAAGCCCCGCCACAGCCGGCGCGGATTGATCTTCCCCTTCCAGTGTGCGGACCCGGCTGCTGGAGGCTGGGGGTCGCGGGAGGAGGGAGTGAGCGGAGCCCAGGCCGAGGTCTGGGGCCCCCGACGCTCTGCAGGGAGCCCGGCTGGGGCGCACAAACAGGGCGCGGGCTATCCGGTCTCCCGCCTCCGGAATAGTGGAGGTACCTCTGTAAGTGCGAGTTTGCGCGAACAAAAAGCCGCGCAGGAACTCACTGATCCTGATAGCCCGGGCTGCATAGACGGCCCTAACCTGCTGTTTCCTCCAGCAGCGGCTGCGGTCGGCCGCGTTTACGCCGGCCCTGGGTGTGCCCGCCACAAAGCCAGGAAGCCTCCGGTAGAACAGAGCCGGGGCTCTCCAGCCCCATCTCGGTCATGGCCCTCGCTTGCCTCCCACTCTCCGTAAGCCTAGCAGGAGCTTCTCACTCCTCCCGACAGACTGGAAACCGGGAGCGGGGGGAGTGTGAGCGCCCCGAGAGGCCCGGAGCCTTGAGCGGCAGACACTGCGCCGCCCGCGCCGCGCCGCGCCCGCCCCGCGCGCTCACCTCCACTTTGTCCGCCGGTTCTGGAACCAGGTTTTGACCTGCGCGTCAGTCATTTTGAGCGCCTTGGCCAGGGCTGCGCGCTCTGCCGAGGCCAGGTACTTCTGGCGGTGGAAGCGCTTCTCCAGCTCACAGATCTGCAGGCGCGTGAAGGACGTGCGCGGCTTCTTCTTCTTGGGGGGTGTCCGGTTCTGATAGGGGTGACCTATACGGCGTGTTACAGTGAAGGGTGAGAGGGCCACTGGAGCGGGAGACAGACAGACGGCAGAGGCAAGCGGCAGAGCGTCAGGAGGCGTCCCAGGCCCGACACCCCGCGAATCAGCGAGCATAGCGGCTAGACCCCACGGTCAAGGCCTGGTTCCTCCCGTCGGCCCCCAACTCCAAGCCGGGCGGGAAAGGGCTCCCTCCCGCCGCCAAGCCGCAGTTGCCGCCGCTGCCACCACGAAGGCCTCCCTAGTCCTGGGCGCCCACGTGCCCAACCGGACACGGCCACAGTCACCTCCCCAGTCTCCCTGAGGCGAGCTAAAGACAGCAGCCCCCCACAGCTTCCCACAGCCCCAGGCCTCCAGCCGCAGAGAAGCTGCCCCACAGTAAGAGGCTGGATCCTGACCTAAGCCTCCATCACACAGCCATACACACAGACGCATCACATAGAACAGTGGCAAATTACAGCTCTGTACATTCTAACAAGCCGGCAAGCAGATAAACACAGACACACAGGACACAGGGCAACACAAGGGAACACGAGGCAACAGCCATATATTCCCTCAGAACCGTCTTTAGACCTGAAGGAAGGTTAGATGGGCTGTGGCTCCCCTGGGGAGGCCGATGTGGAGAACCTTCCATCAGACCCGGGGCCAGTGGGTTCCAGGCTGGGGTTCCATCAGAGTCCTTCAAGCCTGGCCTGGCCTGGGTAGGGGGAGAGGAATGGGCACCAGGCCTTCACTCCCCAGGACTGAGACAACTTGGGTTGGGACAGTGGGGCCCCTTGAGTACAGGGCCCCTCCCGGAGGCCCAAAGTGGAATGGCTCTTCTGCCTCTGTGAATATCCCCTTTCCCCCCAACTTTTGCCACAGACCCAGAGTCTGAACCAAGGTTCCGAGGTTAGAACAGGAGCAGGGGCCTGTGGTGCCTTGGGGTCTCCCAGCCTATGGTCTAGCTCTAAGCTCCCTATCCCCCTCTCACAGTTGGGCCCTGAAGCCGGAGCCCCACGGGAGTCCCGGCCTGCGCCTCCCGCCTCCTCTCTCTGAGGCCGGGTCTGGAACCCAGACTCAACTCACGGCTGCTTCCCAGCGGGCGCGGGGGCCTGGCCGGGCGGGAGGGTAATACTCTCGGACCCAGGGAACGCCACGGGAAGCGGGAAGTGAAGCCGGGCAAAGGGCCCGCGAAGGAGCGAGGGCTGAGCGCCGAGAGCGGAAGCGGGGAGCTCAGGGAGACGAGACGAGCGGAGGAGGGCGCGGCGGGCGGCGGAGGGGCTGCAGCCGGCGCTGCTGAATGCGTAATTGTCCCAGGAGGAGTCTTTTGCTGGCCAGTCGATCGTGGGCCTGGCGGGTGCATTATTTACTCCGGGGGCCTAGGGGTAGGAGGTGCGGGGAGGACGCCGAGCCCGGACAGAACGAAATGGAAGCGGGTGGCTCAGCCTCAAGCTGCCACCGACCCGGACGAAGCCCGCAGTTCAGAGAGAAGGGCCCACCAGCTCTGATGCTTTACGCGGGCTCCTGGCCTCTGTTGGCCCGCAGAGCAACAGACACTAGAGCTGGAGCGGGGTGGGGGGGGG